CGTCTCATCGCAGCTGGTTAGCTCCTTAGCTTACTCGGCGAGTTAGCGTTGAGAAATTGAAACGATAATGGCTTAAAGGGGTGATTAGATGCCGTCCAAGGGGAAAGGACCGCTGCAGCAGATCCACAGAGAGGTGGACGACATGAGGGTGCAGGTTTGTCATAGATAGCGCTCACTTTTATGACGTTCAAGTCGAGGGTGGTGTCTCCAAACATGTCAGAAACAAGCTAGCTTTAGCAACTAAACACTTCGAAGGATAATGTGGCATTAATACAACCTGTAGGCAGTTAAAAGCTAAGTGTTGCATATATTTTTATTATACTTGTTCAAATGACACATTGTCTTTATATGTGTAGACGATTCATGTGTATTCTTTGCTTCTAGCTGGAGAGTCTGTTGAAAGATGTTAAGGGTGAAGTGGAAACCAAAGAAGAGTCCTTTAGGAGGTGAACTACACACCTTTTCAAGACCATTAATACTTAAAATTGTTATTTTTCTACGTGTCCTGTGTCTAAAAGTGTCACATTTTAAACAGATGCCAAGAACTTCAGATTTCCGCAGAGAAAACACTGAAGAATCTGACAAAACTGACCAAGGTGACAATTTTTATGATGTGCACTGAGGTTGCTTTGTCATGGGATATTAAAAGGCAACAATTGGTGTACGTTGTAGGCCGATGAGATTGCTCCTGTGGGCAACTACGACCAGAGGAAACTAGAGGAGCAAGGACGACTGCATAACGTCCTGGAGCAGCTGAACAAAGTCTCCGTGCGGCTCTCACCACCGGGACCCAGCACGGAGCCACCATCAGGGTCTGTAGCTTTACTCACTGCATCTCACAACGTTGATAAAATGACCCAAATTTTCATCCACAGTGATGCCCAGAAGGAAGATGTCGAGGATGGAGCTGAAGACAGCGATGAGGACGATAGCGATGAAGACACCGCCGATAAGGTCGACAGCCCCAAAGACGAGAGTCAAGCATCTACTGCACCGCCGCAATCGGAACCTTGTATCTACACGGTGCTCAGTGATTTCAAAGGCGACCAGGAAGGAGATTTGACTGTTCAGGTGATGTGATGTGTTTATATTGGGGTTTGAAACTGGTTCCAAACTGGTACATACTTATAGTGACTTCCAACTTAGTCATTTAATCTTTATAGAGCTCATTGATACAATTCTTATTTTTAAAATAAAGCAACTCTTTCTTTCTAATCCCTACAGTATTTTTAATAAAGTGT